AGAGACTAAGACAGACAATAACAGGGTGAAATGGGTGTGTAATGAAGATGAACCAACTGCCAGGGAATTGGATTGGAAGGGAGATTGAAGGTAGGCAAGGAAACACATTAGGAGCTACTGCATTGATTTAGGCAAGAAGGGATAGGGGCATGAACTAGGATGGCAGTAAAGACAGAAGGAGGCTCAAGGAGGAAATACATGAGGGAATACTAGGTTGTGGTGATTTGTTGGATGTGAAAGAAGGAAGGGGTAGAGCATTAAGTTGCTCTGAAAAAACTGGATAATTTATAGTCCCTTGACCTGGTACACTTAGGGGTCATGACAATATTAATAATAGTTTATGGTTACATAATTCACTTAGGCTCAAATCTCTGAGCTAGGGCATGCTAGTTATTCTTTCAATTTCAATTATGCCTGCCATTCAATTATGCCTGGATTTCAATTATGCATGCCATTCCTATGCCCCATCACTCTCTGTAATTAAGAACTGGCTGTATGTCCCATAGCCACATGGCCTGTGATCATTGGTTCTGATCTGTGATTCCCGTTTAACCTAGGTTAAAATAGAAGTCGAAATTGGGTCAGTTTTTTTTACTTTCTCCCACTCAATTCCAATTTGATTTTTTTTAACTACTATAAAATATTTGTGCAATATTGTTACTGGTAAATGACACTGATATATCACTGGTAATGTGACAATTACTACTTACAAGTGGAAAAGGGTTTCTTCCTCATTGAGCTGTGTCCTAGGATCCTACTACATGCAGTTGGACAAATAAAATGTATGATTTTCTGTTTTCATTCTGTTTGTACATTTTTAAAAGATTTTATTTATTTGAAAGAGAGAGACAGAGAGAGAGAGAAAGGGGAGGGCAGGGAGGATCAGAGGGAGAGGGTGAGGCAGGCTTCTCACTGAGCAGAGACCCCGACACTGGGTTGGATCCCATGCCCCCGGGATCATGACCTGAGCCGAAAGCAGACACTCAACCTACTGAACCCTGTTTGTCCCCTGTTTGTACATTTTGTGGGGACTTTGGCATTTGAAAAATATAGTACATTTAGGGGTAAATTAGAGAAAATATTTGTTAATGCTAATTGAATCCACCTTTACCTATTGGACTATTTGATGATTTTATAAATATTCAACTCTCTCCTTGATCTTTCTGATTGTGTCTCATTGTTCTACATGCTAAACCTGTGCCCATTTTTGTCTTGTGTTCAACAACCTAGATCATATATTTGTGAGACTCAACTCATTCTGAGTAGACTACTTCTAAATTTCTCCAAGAAAGGAAGTTTCGCAATTTGGCTTAAATGTAACTTCTCTTGGAGAAGCTTTCTTTGTCTCCTCTTCCTTGACTCACCTCCTCCCTTCCATTGTGTTTTGGGCAGTTTGTTCGTTCATTCATTCATTCATTCATTCATCCATCCAGTGAGTACTGAATGATTCTTGATTGATGTCTTTCTCCCTCCAACCTGAAAACTTAATGGAGGGTAACATAATCTATCTTTGTTTACACTGTATCATCTGTGAATATACATTATAAGTAGTGAACACATTTTTACCAAATGAACAAATACTTTGATAAATTTGATAATTGCTGCTATTAGTACCTAAATTGAGTCTAAAATCCTTTTTTGGAAATCATATCATCTGTACTATGACTGCTGGGGCCTTTTAAAGTGGGTGGTAATACTGTGTTTTGTTTTGTTGTGTTAACCTTCTATTCCATTGTCTTTACTTTTGAAATCTTTAAAAAATAAATTACATTTATAATAGAAAGCATAGTCCTTATTTTTAGGAAGTAAAATGCTTATGTGTCGTTGTGATCAGGTAACTCCTGATTTCATCTTAGGAAAAACAATATAATTTTTAACCATTTTTTCTTTAGTCATATCCCTTGCTTTTATCTTTCCATGTAGATTGGATATTAAAAGATTTTCATTGCTGCTACAGATTTCCTATAAGATCTGTTCACATTCCCAATCTTTTTCTAAAGTTGTAGAGTAGGGAATAAAGAATATTTGAATAATACAGTAACACTGAAGAACAATGTACTTTTTTTAATCCCAGTCCCCACCCAAAATAGGTAAACTTTAATCACAGTTCATCCTTTCAAAATTCTGACCTCAAAATTTCCTAAGAAATGTGACCCTAAAGGAAGTTTTTGCTTTTGATTCCCCCCACCCCCCATTTTTCGTTCTAAGACTAGTGGTCTTACATCACAAATGGAAGACCTTAGAGTCATACAGTCTTGAGAAGGTATATTGAAGGTCACCTAGTGCAAATGCTCACTGGATAATTGAATCCCTCCAGTAACATCCCCATAAAGTCTTCGTGTAGCTTATTATTGGGAATCTCCAGTGATCCAAGTATCTTTTCCCATGGCAGCAGATTCTATCTTTATTGTCAACTTTGACTGTTGCAAACTGCTTCCTCATATTGAACTCTACTCATAGTTTCCACATATTTCTTCTGTGTTACCATTTGGGCTCATAAAGAGCAAGTTGAACCCATCTCTCACTTAGTTTGGGCTGCTATAACTGAAATACAATAGATTGCGTGGCTTAAACAACAAATGTTTATTTTTCACAGTTCTGGAGATTGAGGAGTCCAAGATCAAGGTGCCAGCAGATCTGCTGTCTGAATAAGGTCTGCTTCCTGGCTTGAGAGAGCTGTCTTCTTGTATCCTCTCATGGTAGAGAGAGCAAGCTCCTACTAGCTCTCTGGCCTCTTAGAAAGGCACTAATCCCATTCATGAGGGCTGTACTCTCATGACCTAATTACCTACCAAGGACTCCACCTCCAAGTACCATCACTTTGGGATTAGATTTCAACATACGAATTTTTGGGGACACAAACATTCAGACCATAACACCATCTTTACAGGATAGCCCAGTTGAGGGTGACACTCATGTTTCCTCCAAGTCTTCTTTTCTCTACGATAACCCCTCTTAGTTCCTCAGTTGATCTCCATGTGACTTGATTTCACGTCTCCCACTATCCTAGTTACTCTAATTTTAAAAAGTTTATTTTGCTTATATAGGAAGCATCCAGCAATGGGTGTGATAACTCCAGGTCTGCACGAATGAGCTGAGAGTAGAGAGTATCATCTTTCTTAATTCAGATGCTCTTATCTCATTAGTGCTCCTGGCAATGAATTAGTTGAAGTGCCTAAGGACAGTGGCAGGTCAGATACATCTGTTCTCATCCAACTTATATTATTTCTGGATATTTTTAGACTCGTCAACTTTGTTGATAATTGATTAAATTTTAAAACTGTTAACTGGAAAAACATCTTCATTTTAGAGGCAGGATCTGGAATCATACTTAATAGAGAATGGTCTTGGACAAGTTCATTAACCTTCTTACGGAGCTGTTTCCCAGTATTTAAAGATTATTGTGAGGACTAAATTAGTTGTAAAGTGCTTTTATGTAAATGTATATAAAGTGCTTAAAATATATGGTGAATGCTGAGTGTGTATTAGTGATAATAATCTTTACTATTATTACTTATTCCAAGAGTTCTGAGAAATGCTTATTTTAATCCTGAATAAATAGGAAGGGTCTGTGACTTTGTTATATTTTGAAGGCATTGTCTAATATATTTAATCTAGACCTATAAGAATAAAAGTTACACATAAAAAATTCACAACCACACATTTGTCCACAAATTCTTTGACAAATCAGAACAGAATAGAACAAAGTTCTGACATTAGTTATTCATTTGCTATAGAGTGGGAGAACAGGTAATATATTACAAAGTGTATTCTTCTCATGTCTTTAATATTAAAAATAATTGTGTTAGCTTTTTACCAAAATGATTATTTTTTCATATAAATCTTTATTTTTTTTAAAGATTTTATTTATTTGAGAGAGAGAGAGAGAGTGCACAAGCAGGGGGGAGAGGCAGAGCAAGAAGGAGAAGCAGACTCCCCGCTGAGCAGGAAGCCCTACCTTGCAGGGCTTGATCCCAGGACCCTGGGATCATGACCTGAGCCGAAGGCAGACGCTTAACTGACTGAGTCACCCAGGCACCCTGAGATGAATATTTTTGAAAATATGGGAGCTTCTGTTAATTTTTGTCTTTTTAAGATATTTGTTTCTGCTGATATATTTCAGCACCAGAGCATGGCCTTTTCCAGGTTAAGATGCTGAGCTAAAACCTCAAAGAATCACTGCAAAAGAGATTGGATTCCCCTTCTCTCTATAATTTAGTTAGTGAGAACCACAGCTGGGTAAGCCTTTGGGGGGCAATTATTTTCAACCGTTTTAAAGCTTTTATATTAGGGAAACAGAAATACATTTGTGAAAATCTTAGAACCAAGTAACCAACTTGACCGTCTTAGGTCAAGTACTAAGTAAGTTGATAAGGTACAGCTTAGCCACAAAGACTTGCTGAGCACCTGTGGAATCCAGAGGTTGTCAGATACATTTCGGATAAGTCATTCCCTTTCAGTGTCTTCCATTAAGAGGCCTACTTGGACGATTAGGATGGTAGGAAGTGCTTCTTTCATTGCCTTTTAAATTTACTGTTAAAAGAATATTCATAGCAGAAACAGTCTTTGATGCTAAGCCATATTTCAAGAACAAGTAATTATTATACTTCTGTTCTTTTTAAAGCATCTGTGACATGCGCACACATACACACACACAACACACACACACACACAAACAGTTTGTCAGAATCAGCTTTTACTGGCTCACAAAAGTCCACTGTTAACTTCCCAGGAGTTCTGTAAACCACTTGATATCAGACAAGTAGCCTGGAATTTACTACAGTGGGAGTATTTACTCCATGGAAATCGGGGAATGCTATACATCAAAGCCCTTTTTTCTTCTTAGGCAGCTGGCTGGTAAACACTTACTAGTACACCGTGCCTCAAAATATTTATGTAAATAAAGGCTATTACCTTTGAAATTGGTTTTAGTAGGAAAGTTTACATGAGAAAAAGAAATAAACTGGGTATTTTTTTCTTTTTTTTTTCTGTGTTCTCAGGGATACGGAAAGACCGAAGAGGAGGGAGAATGTTGAAACACAAGCGCCAGAGAGATGATGGGGAGGGCAGGAATGAAGTGGGGTCCTCCGGAGATGTGAGGGCTTCCAGCCTTTGGCCAAGCCCACTCTTGATTAAGCATACTAAGAAGAACAGCCCAGCCTTGTCCCTGACAGCCGATCAGATGGTTAGTGCCTTGCTGGAGGCTGAGCCCCCCATAATCTATTCCGACTACGATCCTTCCAGACCCTTCAGTGAGGCTTCGATGATGGGCTTGCTGACCAACCTTGCTGACAGGGAGCTGGTTCACATGATCAACTGGGCAAAGAGGGTGCCAGGTAAGAACACTAAGCTCAACATTTATTTTGAGAGTCAATAACTACTCATGACCTGGTTGTGCTGGCATGGGAGAAGTAGGGAGAAACAACAGCTTGCTATCGAATTGGTTTCAAGGTTACTTCTGCATTTGTTCATTTTTACTATCAACATACTATCATTCTCCTGGAAATTAGGAGATAATGTTTTAAAATCAAAATCTAGGGCGCCTGGGTGGCTCAGTTGGTTAAGCGACTGCCTTCGGCTCAGGTCATGATCCTGGAGTCCCTGGATCCAGTCCCGCATCGGGCTCCCTGCTCGGCGGGGAGCCTGCTTCTCCCTCTGACCCTCCCCCCTCTCATGTGCTCTCTGTCTCTCTCATTCTCTCTGTCTCAAATAAATAAATAAAATCTTTAAAAAAAAAAAATTAAAATCAAAATCTAGAAGATTAAAGTCTTCCACCTGATATTTATTTATTTATTTTTGTTTGTTTGTTTTTGACATTATTTATTTTTAACCAAAGAATCTGGGATGGTCACAACATAGTAAGTGCATGTATTATTATGTGTTCATACTATCAGAAGTTCTTAACACAGAATGACCCATGCACTACAGATATGTAATACTGAGAACTTTTGTTCGAAGCACCTCAATTATTAATAGACAATTTTATCTTAAAATATTTTCTTTTAAGTTCTTTGTGGACTAAAGAGATAATAACAGGTGTCTTTACTGAATGCCAGTTATTTACTCAGCTGTTAACTCTTAATATTTTAGGAGAAAGGTAGTACAAAGGAACCATAAATTAGGTTCTCATCCCTGAGAGGAGTTTGCAGAAAGAATCACTGGCTGAAGTGACACTTGGTCCTTCAGTTGGTTCTCTCAGAACTGGTGTTCCTTTAAAACTTGACTGTTGCTCTTGTTCAGGGAGAAGAACTCTAGTTATTATGGAAACAAGACTAGAAAATGACCTCCTACGTGCCCCAACATATCCAGTCAGGAGCTAACGTAGATGAACCAAGGCAAGAGGAAGTTACATCTTTTTTCTGGGCTTATAGATCAAATGAGTAATGGTTTTAGACAGAGATCATTTTGTGTGGTTTCTTTTAATAGATGAAATTAATTATTACCTATGAAGCATGGGTGTTTTTTTATTAAACTAAAGAAATGTAGAGTTTTGTACTTGTATTTCAAAGTTCACTGATTATAGACCAAGTGAACAAATATCTGGCCTTAGAGACTATTTCATGTATTTGCATCTGTTAACATATGAACTTGTGGTCCTTTGAATAAGGAGCCAGCAGTGTTTGATCCCAGCTTGATAGAGGGCATCCATGTAGGGGGTGGAGATTGCATTAAGTGGAGACATGAGGATTGACAGGCATATTTAGATTTTTAGGGTCAATCCAACTGGCAAGTAAAAAGTGTTGGCCATCTTCGAAATTAAGGGTTTTATTGAGCACTTACCTAGTTTAGCATTCTCATGTGAAGCCGATCCATGTAAGCAGATATTGGAATTTAAATGTAACATCGTTATAAGCTTTGTCTTTATATTTGTTACTGCCTTTTTAAAAAATACTTTGGGAGAAGAGAAAAAACAAAACAAAACAAAACAAATAATAGCCATATACCTGAGAGCCAACTCTTGGTTGCTGTTAAGTTTTATTGTCCTATAAGCATATATTTTCCCTCTTGAAGTCTTGTCAGTATTAATTCCAAAGCACTGTCGTATGCAAGTATATATTTTCATACTTACCTGTAGATTTCCATCATGACATTTTTATAATTATAAAAACTTGAAGGGCGTGTGAAATAACTGGAATGAAGTTCAAGTATATTAGCAGTGAATGAAGTATTCATGGCAATAATCTTCTAAATTTGGGAATGAAATGGAGACAGATAGCAAGGGAAAGAAAATATGTCCATGCTTAGCTATCCCATTGTTAAACCCAGAACTAAACAAAATTTATGATAATGAGATTTATAGCAAAACCACTTGATTATATTAGATTAAAAGACCGAAATGATTCCAAAACCCCTGGACCAAACAATGTCTTATTACTTGATGGTTAAAAAAGAATTATAAAGGCAGAAATGAAATTGTGTGTACACCATTGAAATACAGCTGTTGTAAATCAAAAGCCTACTTGTCTGACGAAGCAGAATAGTTTACGTGTGAATGGTGGGAGGGGCAGAGGGAAAGGAGAGAGAGAATCTCAGGCAGATTTGATCTCATGACCCTGAGATCATGACCTGAGCCAAAATGAAGGGTCGGATGCTTAACTGACTGAGCCACCCAGGTGCCCCTTGGTTAATCTTTAGATACTATCAATAGAACAGAAATTGTGAGTTGACTTCATTTTTAAAAACTTCAGTTTTAATGAGGTATAATTGACAAATAAAATCATAAGATATTTAAAGTTGTGGCAATTTGGTATACATAGGCTTTGTGAAAGGATCCCCTCCCATCTAGTTAATTAACATATCCATCACCTCACTTTTTTTTTTTTTTTTTGGTGAGAACATTTAAGTTCTACTCTCAGCAAATTTTAATTATATGATGTAGTGTTATCAGTTATAGTCATCATGATTTATATTAGATCCTCAGACCTCTTTCATCTGGTCTGACAGTTTATATTCTTACCAACCTCTCCCTATCTGTCCCACCTGCCAAACCCTGGCAACCACTTTTCTACTCTGTTTCTATGAGTTTGACATTTTTGTCTCCTTAGATTCCACATCTAAGTGCTATCATACAGTATTTATCTCTCTCTCTCTCTTTGGCTTATTTCACTTAACATAAGGCATTAAGGTCTATCCATGTTTCTTTGGCTTATTTCACTTAACATAAGGCATTAAGGTCTATCCATGTTTCTTTGGCTTATTTCACTTAACATAAGGCATTAAGGTCTATCCATGTTGTTACAAGTAGCAGGATTTCCTTTTTTCTCATGGCTGAATAATATTCCATTATATCTGGATCTTGGTTTGTCAGATCTTACTTGTTCACTTATCTGTTGATGGACACCTGGATTGTTTCCCTATCTTGACTATTATGTATAATATTGCAGTGAACGTGGGAGTGCACATATCTCTTTGAAATCCTGCTTTCAATTCCTTTGGATATATGTCCAGAAATGGGATTGCTGGGTCATATGGTGGTTATTTTTAAAATTTTTTGAGGAACCTCTATACTGTTTTTCACAGTGGCTGCACCAGGTTATAGTCCCATCAACAGTATACAAGAATTTCTTTTTCTCCACATTCTCATCAACACTTATCTGTTGTCTTTTTGATGAAAGCCAGTCTAACAGGTGTGAGGTGATATCTCATTGTGGTTTTGATTTGTTGTTCCTTGATGATTAGTGATGTTGAGCATCTTTTTATATACCTGTTGGCCAATTTGTATGTCCTTTTTGGAAAAATGTCTATTCAGTCTTCTGCCCCATTTTTTTCTTTTAAGACAGAGCATGAATGCAAGTGTTGGGGGGGAGGGGCAGAGGAAGAGGGAGAGAGAATCTTAAGCAGGCTCCATGCCCAGTGCAGAGCCTGATGCAGGGCTCGATCTCACAACCCTGAGATTATGGCCTGAACCAAAACCAAGAGTTGGATGCTTAATGGACTGAGTCACCCAGGGGCCCTCTCTGCCCATGTTTTAATCAGATTGTTTTTATTGCTTTTGAGATGTCTGAGTTCTGTATATATTTTTTGATATTAACCCCTAATCAGGTATATGTTTTGCAGATATTTTATCTCATTTAATAGGTTGCCTTTTCACTGGGCTGTGCTAAAGTTATTTTTAGTTTGATATAGTCCCACTTGCTTATTTTTGCTTTTGTTGCCTTTGCTTTTGGTGTCTAATCCAAAAAAATCATTGCCAAGATTGATGTTAAAGAGCTATTTCTCTTTTGTTTTCGTCTAGGGGTTTTATGGTTGCAGGTCTTACTTTCAAGTCCTTAATCCATTTTGAATTGATTTTTGTGTATGGTGTAGGATAGGGGTCCGATTTCATTCTTGTGCATGTGGCTGTCCAGTTTCCCATCACTTCTTATTGAAGAGACCATCTTTTCCTCATTGTATATTCTTAGCTCTTTTGTTGTAAATTAATTGACCACATATGCTTGGGTTTATTTCTGGATTTTCTGTTCTGTGCCATTGATCTATGTCATTGTTTTTATGCTAATACCATACTCTTTTGATTACTATGGCTTTGTAATATAGTTTAAAATCAGGGAGTGTGATGCTTATGCCTCCAGCTTTGCTCTTCTTTCTTAAGATTACTTTGGCTACTCACGGTCTTCATGGTTCCATAGGAATTTTAGGATTTTTTTTTCTATTTCTGTGAAAAATCTCATTGGAATTTTGCTAGAGAGTACACTGAATCTGTAGATGGCTTTGGGTAGTATAGACATCTTAATGGTACTTTTTTTTCCAATCCATGACCATGAGATATCTCTCACATTAAGTCTAGTGTGTTGTTTAAGACCAATGTTTCTTTTTCTTTTCTTTTTTTTTTTTTTAAGATTTTATTTATTTATTTGACAGAGAGAGAGATAGCGAGAGCAGGAACACAAGCAGGGGGAGTAGGAGAGAGAGAAGCAAGATTCCCGCTGAGCAGGGAGCCCGATGTGGGGGTCGATTCCAGGACACTGGGATCATGACCTGAGCTGAGGGCAGATCCTTAACGACTGAGCCACCGTGTGGCTCCTTAACGACCAAAGCCCCATGTTTCTTTATTGAGTTTTTTGTCTGGATGATTTATCCATTGTTGAAAATGGGATATTGAAGCCCTCTATTATTCTTGAATTGCTGTCTATTCCTCTCTTTAGGTCTGTTAATGCTTGCTTTATGTATTTAGGTTCTCCATTGTTGGGTGCATAAATATTTACAAATGTTTTACCCTCTTGCTGGATTGACCCCTTTATCATTATATAATGATTTTTTAAATCTTATTACAGTCTTTGCTTAAATTCTTGCATTTTATTTTGTATAACTACCCCTTCATTCTTTTGGTTTATATTTG